TTTTAGACAAAATGTCTTGTTGTTTTATATGAGCTGAGAATCTCATTTCAAAATAATGAGTACTTTGGTAATTTCAGTTCAGATTTTCATCAATATTTTACAATCAACCAAACATATCATCAGTAAAAATAATCCAACTTCTTCGGAAAATTTTTGACTTGCTAAACATATTTTCGTAACTTACTCGGGAAAAAAAAAATTCCACCCTCGCCTCGGAATTTTTTTTCCCAATAAAAAAAATTCTCCCATATCAAATACCCCAATTTAATATTTTTTTAGGCGTTCACAGTTAGGGGTGTTCACGGTCTGGATTGGATCGGTTTTGGAAGCAAAAATCACCCGATCCAATCTTTTCGGTTTGATCATCTAATCATCCATTCGGTTTGAATTTTTTTTCAAATTCGATCCGTACAATCCAATTTTTTTCAGTTTGGATTGGATCTGTTTTCGGTTTTTTGAAAATCCTAAAATTAGTTTTATGATTATTGTGCAAATAACATCTTTGGTATATATTGGCTTTGTAAATTTATTTATTTTTTGAAATACAAAAGCATTAGTAAACGATAATATAGTTATTTTTTTGGACAATGAGATATGAAGCTCTACACAGATAAAATTTTGTTGATGGGATGTGACTAGATTTTTTTTTGGGTTTAGTTGATGGGTTAATGGGTCTTGGTTTAAAAAATGTGGGTTATGATTGGAGAAAGGCCCAAGTAAGTAGAGGAGAATTAATATATTGGATCAGTTTGGATTGGATCGGTTTTCATCAACCCATCCGAAAACCGATCCAATCCAATTAAAATTTGCGGGTTTTTTCGGTTTTCGGTTTTTCGGTTTATTCGGTTATCAGTTTTTCGATTCGGTCACCGCAGTTTGAATCAGTTTAGATTGGTTGATGAACACCACTATTCACAGTGGCGGACACACACAGTTGCCGCTGTCTGCACTTGCAGACACAAGTTTGAGAATTTTTTTTTTCAAAGGGTGGGTGATTTAGGTCAAGTAAAAAAAAGAAAAAAAATTTAGGAAGATTGAAAAGAAAAAAATAAACATAGGCCCAACCATGGTAGTTAAAATATGAATCTTACCTAAAATCAAGGAGGATAAAAAATCATAAAACGTAAAATCCTAACATAAAAAAAATCGTAAAAAATCATAAAATCGTAAAAGTGTTTAGAATTTTAATGAAATCGTTTTGATTAAAAAAATTGTAAAATCATAAAATCAAATATTTAAATCGGGATTTTTACTAACATGGACCCAACCCAACCAACCCCTATAATTCTTTTCTTTTCTTGTTTATATATTATTTAATACATTTACAATTTTCTTAAAAAAAAAATCTTCGCAGACGCTGCCCCCAAACCCCACCCTAAGTGTGCAGTCATAAGCTTTTTTTTCTGGGTCCACCATTGGGCGTTCATAACCCTAATCTCTTCTCTCAGTTCAGATTCTTTTTTTCGATGTACGGATCCAATAATAGCAAGGAAGATTCGAAACAAACGGTTTTCGGAAGAGCAGAGAAGAAGTACAAGCTCTACTACGACGAAGATCAACCAAAGTGCCACTCTTTTAAAAAAAAATCTCAAATGCCACGCGAACAGTACATTTTATCAGACTGCTACGTGACGTAATTCGCTATGATTGGTAACGAATTACGTTCGCCAATGATTTCATGACACGACACATTTTTGTAAAAAAAAAAGCTGACTAGACATAATTCACTATTAGTGATAGAAAATTTGGTACGAAATGTGGCCACATGTCATGAAATCTTTGGCAAACGTAATTCATTATCAGTCGTAGCGAATTATGTCACGTGACAGTCTGATAAAAAATACTATTTACATGATATTTAGATAAAAAAAAAAATTGGTCAGTGTTCCTTACCATGACAACAATGCTTCTTCCAAAAACAAAAAATATTTTATTTTTTTCTTTTAAATGTATGTAGTTGCAGTTTGTTGTGTCAATCAGATTCTCTGATTGCAAATCTATTTCCTCACAGTAAAAAATAACCTAAACCAGTGGAATTAACCGAGGTCCTTGACTTCAATTCTATCTTCAGCGCCATTATCGCAACAATGAGTGAGCTTCTTCCAGGTGTTATAGTTTTTCACGACAAGTTCACGTCTCTGTGTTCTCTTTGCAAAATTGCCCAGGTATTTTTTTTTCTCATATTCTAAAGAAGGAACTGAAATTAACTATACGTTAACAATAGGTGGAAGAAACTTAGAAGAAAAAAGAAATTTAATATTATAACTATTTTTTACTAATAAGACATAATTATAATTAATTGTAAGAAAAGTTGGAGACCCAATATTTAAAGTAAAATATATTATAACTATTTTTTAATGCAAGATATAGTTGTAATTAGTTGCAGGAAAAGCTGGGAATCCAATATTTAAAAGGAAAATATTTTCTCATATTATTAAAAAAATGTTTCCCTCATAGATATATATAGGTGGATTTCACTATAAATTTTTTCTCTCATCTGAATCTCTTTTCTCTCTCTCAATTACTCCCTCTGTAGGAAGTGAAACTAAATAAATAAAAATACTGCAAGATTATGAACACAATTGAAAATCTTGGCTAATGAAAACAATTAATCCACAATAATAAAAACAACGCAGGCTCCAGAATTTGACTACTGTGGTCTGAAATAGCGTTCATGACAAATGAAAGGGAATAAAACTCATTGGAAAAACTATACTGCATTTAGGAATAAAGATAAAAATTTCACGTCTTACCATATTTCTTTGCAATGTGAACAGTAGATATAATGAAGCCTTATTGATAACTGTCAGGAAACACATTAATTCAATGAATAATGTTTCATACTTTTTCAATTATGGTGCATTTCACGCATTTCTCCTTTTTGTTCATAGTTCATGCCAAAAGCATTATCAGCATAACTAAAATGGGTTTTATAATTCTCATTTAACATGAGAATTATAATTTTCCTACACACCTTTCGATTTCCGTGCTGACATGAATCCTACATATAATTTTTTCTAACACATGGGTTCCACATACTTTTTATCTCTACAACATGAAATTTCAATTCTCCTTCAACATAAGAATTATAAAACCCAAAATAAAATATGGCGATACTATACAATCACGAGGTGTGTCTTAGTTGGCAAACTGAGCTCTATGCAGGTGGAATAGAATAAGTCTAAACTTTTACATGTTGTTTTTAGTAATTTTATTTATAAAAAATGATTTTTTATTTTAATATTCAAATAGTTTTTTTTATATAAAAGCAATTTTTTTTAGATCATAATTCAAATGCAAAATAATTTTACTTTTAAAAAAAATATTTAAAAACAATGCATAAAAAATATTTTTTTTAAAAGCTCATCCAAATATGAACTAATTCTAATAATAACTTTCTAGTCTTATAAATATAATTAATTACAAGAATGTAAAAACAGAGTCATCTCGAATTAAAGTGCTAGTACACTTAGAAAGGTACAACTAAAGTGAACGCTATATTATCTTAATTGGCTTTCCAAAAAAAAAAAAATCAGTCAAAAAAATTAACGTTTTGACAAAACAAATTTTCTAAAAAAAAATAACTGGTCAGACTAACTAGTTTTTATCCCAAAATTATTCAATTATGCTTATACATTCAAACTCAACAGATCAATTATGCTTATACATTCAGACTCAACAGATCCTTTAATAGTTTTATTGGGTTTTATAAGAGTTATGTTGTAGGAAAAGTGATTGTGTTATGTTATAGAGATTCGTTTTGCGTGCCGAAGTTTTTTTTTTTTTGCTGCGGGCCCCACAAAATGTTGTGTGTGTAGGAAAAATTTTGTGGTCATGTTAAATGATAGATGATAAACCCATAGTTTTATCATTGAACTTTAAAAATAATAATTTAACAGAGAAGACACCAAATCAGAAGCAAAGCAACAATACTATATAAATCACCAATACACCATGTATATATAAAAAAAATCACCAATACATATGATGCTTCCTAGTTCCTACTACCTAGAGACACACATTAACACTCTTATTCTACCTCTTTACATGTGTGAAGTTATGTGTGCCAACATGTGCCCCAAGCATTATTCATTAATCACACAATAAAAAAGGTAGAATAATCCAGTACAACATGTTCACGAGCATAATTATTGGAGGATCCTACAGTTAGACAAGATAAGAGTTAAATGTAAATTTGATTTGTAATATTGTTAGGTAGATAATTTGTCTCCGGTTAAGTACTTTTAGATAGTTTGCTATAGGCAGATTATTAAGCAAATATTCTCAGCTTTGCTTTATGCGCTCCATAGCTATCCTTTTATATCAGATCAACTTTGTAATACCAAAATTATTAATAATAGAACATAACATCGTATTTAGAATTAAACAATGACACAAACTGAGTCTGAACATTGTTCATTAATTTTAAGGCTCCTACGATGAAAAAAGAAGAAGAAGGACTACAGTTAAAAACAAAAAACAAAATACGGAGTACAACAAACAGGAAGAAAAGAATCAAAGACTAGTAACAGCCCTTACGATCATTGACCACATTATATGGAATGAGAGTAATTGTAAGTTTGTAACCAATGTAGCAAGAGTTTAATACTTATCCATAGCATCTAGTGCAATTGATAGGTCAAGGGGATATAGGTATAAGTAGAGAGTTTAAATTTAATGCAGAGTGAGTGTAAAATATTCCATATAATAATGTGTTACGACTTAAAATTAGATCTTGTGGTTTTCCTTTCACAACTGTGTAAGGTGTAGTTCTAAAAATAACTACATGTAAAAATTATTTTAAGAACCTTACGATTAGTTTCTCGAGTAACTAGAATTCATTGTCCAGTGATAAAAGTGCAAGCATAGAAAAAGGTTAAGTAATAGAAAGAAGTTCTACCGCTGGCACATCGAGAAAACTTCACATTCATTAGAATAAAAATACAACTCTAAAAGTAAAAAGGTAAATCCTAGCAAGCTACTTTAATGAAAGAGCTGCACTAAATGCAGGAAGGTGGAATCTGTTCGCCATAAGAAGCTCCGTTTGCATAGTAACAGAAATTGCTTAAATTTCCTCTGCCACCATGAGGCCACAAATTAATGTCCTCCACCTTTATGTCTTGACATGGCTTATAATTACTGCACTTAAGATCTACACCAACCCCTGTACTGCTACTTCCCAAAATATTTTTGAAAGTCACATTTCTGATTTGCACGTTTGAAGCCACCTGCCACAAAAGTATAGGTTGAGTAATGTATTGCTTTTAACCTTGTAGAGTTGTAGTAAATAAACCTATAGTTCAATAGGTAATCTATTGATTTAATAATTAAAATCTCTTTCAATAAATATAAGAACCTAAAATCAAATTCTGATCATTTATAATATTCGAACATGAATTAGAAAACAAACCTCAGTTTTTTTGCAAGGAGGATATGGACAATATTCTTGATCAATGTTAATGGGATGCTCCACGTTAATCATGAAAAGGTTTTCATAGACAAAATTAGAAGCGTTCAAAGTTTGGTTCAAGGGAGAAGCCCATGTTTTTATTCTAACACCATCAAGGGTGCCAATAAATGTGCAATTCTTGACAACTATGTCTTCTACATCTTCTTCCCCATCATTCTGACCAAGGCTTCCCACGCTAATTCCATGACCAGGACCACAAAACACATCTGAAATCCAGATCTTCTTGGAGCCAGAAAGTATAGCAATGCAGTCATCGCCAGTGCCAATTCTCACCCTCGTGATATTTATACCATTTGACATCCCTATTTTGATACCATCTGTGTTAGGACTATCTCTAGGGGCTTGTAATGCTAACTCTGTGAAAGTCATGTTCTGACAAGCGTATATCACGAAATGGCTGTGTTTGCTGTCAATAGATCGCAAGTCATGGACATGACTGTTGGTGATGAAGTCAAATACCATTGTCTGATCCACAAAACAAGATGTTATTATAACATATGAAGCTAAGAATCTTACAAAATCACTAAAAATTTTAGGGGGGGGAGGAATTTATATTATTATTATGAAAAGATAATGTCACTTTTAGTTGGACGATCACGCTAAGAATACAAAAATACCTATTAAGAAGAATCTAATAAAATTAGAGAATTTTTTGTCAATTTTTTTGTTGGAATGCCAATTTTTTGTTTTCGGTGAAAGTGGTCCAGTACACCCTCTATTTCAATAAGGAACTAGCCTTGAGACCCTACATTTTGTTGGTAAGATCAATTTTTTATTGTTTACCCTCACGCTTCCTGGTGTTATAATTGCACTTTATTTGATTTCTTTAGAATTTTTCTCCCTTAGTTGTTATTTACCAGAAGACGCAGTAAATTAATTAATGCGTTATTTATTTTTAGCATTTGGTCCCAACTAATAATTGATAACTATTAGTTACCTTTTTTTCTTTGCTAACAAAATCAAAACTTAAAATACTTCTCCTGAGTTCTGACATTACAATTTGTATAAATTTTTAATAATTATAAAAAGAAAAATAGATAATCAATCAATAGAAAATCAAATTCTAGACAAATTTGATAGGTAGAGTGAATATGCATTACTTAATAAACTCTTGATTGGGGAGGGTAGCAGACCAAGAACAAAACCTATCATATATGAAGGTTGAATCTGGTAAATAATAGTTATCTCTAATTGGGTGTAATTAACTGATGGAACAATTTTCTTATGAATAACAATAGCATCGCTTGTCTTTCACTTTTTAAAAAGCACTTTCAATTTTTTTTTCTTTTTTAGACCACATGTTGCATGTCATATTAAATAGAACATATTTTCATATTTTAGAAGGGACAAATTTTTGAAGAAATCCATTGAAAGAGAAAAACATAATTTATGAAAGATAAGGAACTTACGGCAGGAAGAGTGGGACAGTTTGAATTCTTGCTGCATTCATTGAGTGGCCAAGCTAAATATCCTTGACCATCCAATGTGCCACCTCCACTCACGGTAAGGTTGTTGACATATCTGAAATTTATCCAGTCATCACCAAATAAATATGGATCAGTTGGAGCCTTCAAAATGCCTTTTATTGTAAAGTTCATTAGACCCTTGCATGGACCAGAAAACATGACTGGGTTGAGTATGTAGGTTTCATTTGGTATCAAAATCCTTGCACTTCCATTCCAATTGCATGCCTCACTCCATGCTTTTAGAAATGTCTTTACAAAAAGAGTAATATACTAGTCAGCTCGTTACAATGAAATTGTAAGGGAAAAAAAGAAAAAAAGAAAAAAAAAAGAGAAGGGAATGAACATGGTTACCGCACTATTGTCCGTCTTTCCATCTGCAATAGCGCCATAATCTTTTACATTGAAAACCTTGCTTTCAAAGTGTGCTTCTGCAATCCAAACAAATAAACACAAGCAAAACATATATTTTGCACCCATCTTTACTTTATTCTCTCAAAGAAAAGAACAGTGCAACTACCAACCCTTCCTCCCCTCAGGAGTTGTTTAATCCAATCTCATGAATTTGTTTTATTTATAGTGAGGTCTTTTGCTTGATGTTGGTTGTTGTAACAACTCAGTAGTAAACCTAGGGATGGATATGGGAAGAATCTCAAAAAGATTCTATCTAGATCTCACTTTCTCAGTCTTCTCCCCAATCTCACTCAATCTCCTTATTGACACATTTCTCTCTACCCCTAGTAAACTTCTATTCTTCCATAATATTAGGTAAGTTTAGTTTCAGAATACACTCGAAGAATAATGTTCTTTTATCTTGGTCTTTTAAAAGCACAATTGAGATTAATTTAATAATTTTTTAAATAATGGTCATAATCAGCAAATGTTATTCTTTCTCCCTCGTGAAAGTTGTGCTGGAGACATACCTTCGGGTAAGGGAACTCGTGAGTGAAATAAGATCAAATAAAATCAAAGAGGTAATAATATTTTATCATTGAAATAAAATCAAAATACAATTATGATTGAAATTTGAATGGAAATTTCAGGATAAAAAAAACATTCAGACAGCTATCTTATTAATTATCAAAATATGAATTAAATTTTAACATTTTTATTTGAAATTTAATAGCAAATATATACGACAAGGAACTTATAATTTGGAATGGAAAAAGTTATACACGGGTAACACATGATATTCACACCACTTGCATGCATGGATCATTTTTTTATAAATTTACTTACTATTTAGTTAAATTTTATGTACTTTTTTTTTTTGATAGACTTTTGTATGTACTTTTACTTGATAGAGTGATGCTTAATTCATTTATATTTTTCTAAAAAATGACGGTGTTGTTTTTAATTCCACTTTTATAAAATTATAATTAACTGTACATGTTCTACTATTTTCAATTTAAAATATCTTCTTTCTAATATATATATATATATATATATATATATATATATATATATATGGGTTAGGATCATTTTATACCAGTGTAAGTTACACTCTCAATTTTATCCAAATTTTTAGTAATGTGAGCCATTGGATACAAGTGGATCAATGGTCAAGATTGAGTGTAAGACTTCTAACTCTTACACCGATGTAAGAGTTAGAAGTCTTACACTCAATCTTGACCATTGATCCACTTGTATCTAATGACTCACATTACTAAAAAATTAGAGCCCTTAGATATAAATGAGATTAACGGATAAAATAAGGAGTGTAACTTACGCTGGTGTAAAATGATCCTGACCCTATATATATATATATATATATTATTTCTGCAATCGCTTAATTTACGTACAGCAATGATAAGTGTATGGTTATAATTTTGATAAATTGTCAATGCAACAGTGCCACTTATGAAATACTGTCACGTCATTTAATAAGTTTGGTAAATAAGAAGTGAAATTCATTAAATGATGTGATCATATATTATATATTAAATGATAATATAAGAATAAAAAAAATCGGATAGGATAATAGACGAATTACCAATAAAAATAAAATGAAAGGAATATCTCGTGATACTCTATATTTTTTTCATTCCTTTCATTGGGAAGAAAAAAAAAATATGATTACTAAATTTAAGAAAATTAACCACATACAGATTTCGCCAATTAAATTTCATAACTTCCGGAAATAAAACTAGAATTATGTAAATGGGGAAACATAATATTTTAAGATTGAATGTCTTATGATCCTAATCATCCTAAAATAGGAAATAAATAATAAAAATAAAACCAACATACATAAATGAGGAAAAAACTAAAATAAATCAGAATTGATCACATGGAGAATTATGTGTAGAGTGTAAATACGCCACATTATCTATTAAAGACTTGTATGTTAGCCTACCTCATATAAATTTTGACGCAGCCTACTTAGTAAAATAGAGTAAGCTTCCCCTCCCAAAATATAAAAAACATGCCACATATCTATTTTAAAAAGTGAAGTCTTAAAAGTGTATTTAGTGTCACTTGTAATTGTACTCCCATTGATAAAGAGTGTTTTGATCAATAACTTATTAAGATTGCAAATGTTAGGTTGAATGCTCAAATGTGCACAAATAGATTTATATTTCCATAATTTTTTATTGAAAAATATTTTGAAGACATTAATTGATAGTTATAAGAGTTGTAAATGTTTATTTTTCTATTATGATTTTTTAAGCAATTCGTATTTGATTTATTACAATTTAAAATATTTTTATTTTTAAAAAAATAAGTTAGGTCAGGCTTAAAATTTAGCATCCATCAAAATAATAGGCCAAGTTAGATCCAAAATATTTTTGATTCTTTGCCTATTTAAAACTAAATTATAACCTATTTAAACCCTTGCCGATAATAATATTTCGATGGTTGAGACAGTACTCATTTTCAATATGATAGCAAGGCTGAAGTGTTTTCTATTGTCATTTGATTTCTTTTAAGGTTCGCTATTTACTGCAAGATAAGTTATCTGCAGTAAGTTTAATACGACGTCGTTTTAGGCAGAAATTATGGTGTTTTTGTAATTTTAATTTATTTCAGGATTATAATAGTCTTTATATTTATAATTTTTTAAGATTTCAATACCAAAACAACATCATTTTGAAAATAAATGCAGATAACTGCAGAAACATTTTTCCTATGCACTACAAAGTATTATTCAAGTTACCTGCCAAATTAAGTGATCAAGCACTCCATTCCATTCATAAGTGTCTCATTGCTAATTGGTAAATAATAACTGTATTAGGTATTAATAAATTACCATTATTATTATAAAAAATACTCAACGTTAATTATATGAAAGTTTAAAGCATTAATGACTTATTATTTTTACAGGGAAGTGCTCAACATTAGTTATAAGGGAAGGAAAATGATCCACACATAGCATGCCCGCATAAGTAAAACTGTGCCATTTTAATAAATTGTGTTTTTTTTAAGAATAGTACAAGAAAAAAAAATCTAATTCAAGTAATTTAGAATATAGTAAAATTAAACTTTCATTAATTCAATTCAAAAGAGTTCTTATTAATTTGATATTAAATTAATGAGTTCTCTTTTCTGCCGTTACTACAGATAAGTAATCTGCAGTAAGTTCAATACAACGTCGTTTTGGAACAAAAATCATGATATTTTTGTAATTTTAATTTATTTCAGAGTTATAATAGTCTTTATATTTATAATATTTTAATATTTCAATACCTTATAATGTTTTAAGATTTCAATACCAAAACGATGTTATTTTAAAAATAAATACAGATAACTTATCTGCATTAACTGCAGAAATATTTTTTTCTAAATTAATTTTAAAAATATTAATATACATAAAAATTCTGAATCAATATTGCCCTAATGGTTTTGCAGTGTCAACCTGCTCTGTTTTTGCAACTAAAACTGAAAGGAAGGAATCGAATTGCAAGGGTTCCACAAGAATCGCCGAAAAAAGCTTGGAACTGCACGCCATTTTTTCTGCCCGCTGATCACGAACCAATCCGAATTGAATTGTCAATAATGTCCTTCCCTATGCGTATTATTCTAAGGATCTAATTGACTTTTAATTTCCAGGTAAATAAATTTTTTTTCAGTCATTTTATAAAGGGTTATAATTATATTTCTCTTACTTGTAGGAAAATGATTATATCATGATATAGAAATAAAATTACAAGTGAGATTCACATGTAAGAAAAGAGAAAAAAATTAAATGTAGAGCCCACCTTCACTTTATGTGTGTAAGAAGCTTGTTTATTTTATATAACATGAGAAAGAATATTGTAATAACCAAGTTATGTTACTACCAATCAATCTCACTGTTAAATCGATTACGTTGATCCAACAATTATATTTATTTCCATCTTTATATGGTCATAATTTTTTAAATTTAATATTTTATATTTATTTTCACTTTTATATATGATTATGATTTCTTATATTTAATGTTTAGATTTTAAATATAATCCTTCTCCGTATAAAACTTGTTAGTAACACAAAACTTGTTACAGTATCATTTTCCGTATAACAACATAAATATAATCCTTTAATAAATTTCCTTTGGTTTAATATTTTTTTTAGGCGTTCAAAACCCTAATCTCTTCTATCAGTTCGGATCCTTTTTCCAATGTACGGATCCGATCATAACAAAGAAGATTCGGAGCGAACGGCTTTCAGAAGAGCGGAGAAGAAGTACAAGCTCTACTATGACAACAATTCTTCTTCCAAGAACAAAAAGTATTTTATTTTATTTCTTTTAAATGTAGGTGGTTGTAGTTTGTTATGTCAATCAGATTCTGATTGCAAATCTATTTCCTCACAGGAAAAAACTACCCAAACCCGTGGACTTAACCGAGGTCCTTGACTTCAGTTCTATTCTTCAGTGCCATTATCGCAACAATGAGCTTCCTCCAGGTGTTACGGTTCTTCACGACAAGATCATCTCTCCAGTGTTCTCTTTGCAAAATCGCCCAGGTATTATTTTATTTTATTTTGTTTTGTTTTTTGTTTTTTTTTTTGTTTTTCTCGTATCCTAAAGAAGAAACTGAAATTGGTTATACAGGCTAAAAATATGCGGGAGAAACTGAAGTTGGTTATACGCTAACAATATGCGGAAGAAACTGAAATTAGTTATACACTAACAATATGAGGTTTACATTGTAACCAACTAGAACTAATAAGTAATCACTTGTTCATTTGCAACCAACTAGATGACCCTGATAACTAAATAGAAACTAATCACAACTGCATCATTTGTAACTAACTTAATCGGATAACCAACTATTGGTGTTGATGCTTATCGTGCAGGCTTTTATTTTATTCCTGGAGCATTAAGCATAGAGAAACAATGTAGTTTGATAAGGGAGAGCTTGATTGATTTTCCGCAGCCACCTAACAGAACAAATCACAATGTCATATATGGTCCTATACACAACTTATTTGTAGCAGCTAAGGATGGGAAAGTTTTGGTTGAAGAGAACTATCCGGTTACTTCATCTGAACCTGGTACTGATATCGGTTATATAGATGGTAAGGAATGGAAGTTTATTACAGAAAAGGAAGAGCCATTGAGAAGGAAGTGCAGGTCCATTTCTGCTTCTGCTTTGGTGCGGAAGTTGCGATGGAGCACCCTTGGCCTACAATTTGATTGGTCCAAGGTAAGTTTTGATTCACCACTTCAAATATTTTTAAACTGCATTTCTCTCCAAAACAATTAAATTTTGGGATAGCTTCGTATCTACTACTTAAGTATATTATTAATCAATAAGTTCCTGAGATTTATTGATATGGGTTCTATTTTTATGTTTGGTGTTGAACTTGTCAGAGAATGAGAACAAAACAGAACTAGACTTAAGGTTGGTTTAGCTGAAACTTAAAAGGTTCCTGTTCGATTTTTTAAAAAAATAGAACAGAATAGGACATGCGGTTAATAAGTAATATATTTTTAGGTTCCATTGAAAGGGGTGGAACCAAGGAGAACAGAACATCTATCCCATTCTATTTGCGTGCAAAATGCTCCCTTAAGGTTGGTTTAGTTGAATCTCAAATTTTGCTAGCCTATAGAAATTCTATCTACCATATTGCTAAAGTGTCATGGTTCGAATCCATGAAACAGCCTCGTTGTAATTATGCAAGGGTAAGGCTGCATACAGAATTACCTCCACCCCACACTCGCTAGTCGGGTTTAATTGGGAGTGATTTTTTTTTTTATATATTGCTAAAGTGTCAAACTAAACTCTTTTTTGGCTAGGGTTATTATAGTTGCATCCCCTACACGTGCATTGGGTCTTTGTTTGGAGTTATAATTTCAACTTCTAAAATCCACATCCAATTGATATTCAGGGAAATCACTCAATGATTATGTTTGTGTGCAGCGGAACTATGATGTTTCTCTCCCACATAACAAAATCCCTGAAGCACTCTGTGAGCTCGCCAAACAATTATCACAACCTGCATTGCCTGCTGGTGTTGAATTCAAGCCTGAAGCTGCAATAGTGAATTACTTTGGCTTGGGTATGCTTAAAGCAAATTATTATTATGAATTTGTTTGTGTGATAATTCCTTGTGTCCTGTTTTTTTAAATTCATATTTAGTTTTGTTTTTTATACACTGTCAACATAAAACACTTCACACTATTGGTAAGCAAGAAAGTGTCATATCATTGTATTAACAATGGTTTTAATGTTGTAGTAAAAGTTTTTAACAGTATTTAAACAGTCGGCACCATATAATTCAGTAAGTAACCTCTCACCTTGATTTATATATTATTCCAGGGGACACACTGGGTGGCCACCTTGATGACATGGAAGCAGATTGGAGCAAGCCCATAGTTAGTTTAAGGTATTATGCTAATTTCTTTTGACTATTTCGTCTTTTGGTTTCTAGTTTACAAACATGCCAAAAAAAAAAAAAAAATCAACATGGAATTTGATCCTAATTAGTTTGTTGTTCTTGTTGCCTCAGTTTGGGCTGCAAAGCTATATTTCTTTTGGGAGGAAAATCTAAAGAGGATCCTCCTCTGGCTATGTTTCTTCGAAGTGGTGATGTTGTACTCATGGCTGGAGAAGCAAGGGAATGCTTTCATGGTAAGTATTACCCTATAAAGCGATGGTTTGGGAAATATTAAATCAAAGGGTGATTTTTTGAAGTTCTAACCTTAAAATTGATTGGTGTCACTTAGATAAAGATTATTAATTGGAATTCGCTTGTTTAATTAAAGTTTGAGTTATATTGTCTTATGCTGACTCGTACAGTTTCAAAATTCTGTATAACTATTGGAAATTGGTTTGATATATATGTTGCAGGTGTTCCTAGGATCTTCATAGATAAGGAAAATGCTGAAATAGGCCATCTTGAGGCACAGCTGACGCATGAAGATGATCTTTGTTTCTTAAAATACATTCAAACTTCAAGAATCAACATCAATATCAGACAAGTTTTTTGAGTAGTATATTGTTTTCTTACAAAGTAAAATATTGTTTACTTAGCTCATGTAAAAAGAAAGGATAAATCATTTCTATTTAATGTGACTATGGCCTCATTTTTATTTTATGTGAAAGTGAGTCATGGCCAGCAAACCTTCTCATTTCATGGAATACTTTGCCTTCAGTTATTTCTTTACATATTTTATGGCGAAGGACTTCGGGGTAACACTTGCTAATAGCTTCTGTTTGCTTTACGGTACCCGCATATGGTTGAATTGATTAGTGAAAATTGAATTATGAAGGGTTGATAATCAAAATATAATTGGAATGATCAAGTACAATAATTGGGCTGACAATAAAATATAATTGGAATGAGCAAGTACAATAATTGATTAGTGAAAATTGAATTATGAAGGGCTGATAATCAAAATATAATTGCAATGAGCAAGTACAATAATTGGGCTGATAATCAAAATATAATTGGAATGAACAAGTACAATAATTGAATTATGAAAGGGGGATACTTAAATTTGATGAGAGATGGAAGAACAATCAAAATATGGTGAGAGTTTTCGCCAGAAGCCATATGGATGTTAAGAGTGAGATTTGAACCTTAATCTGGCGCCTTCGACCATCTCAACGAGCTTTTGCTAATTTTCTAAATATTAATTACTTGACTTTGTCATACGTAAGGTATCTAAACTTTGCAAGTTGTGATTTCAATTTGTGAATACATTTCATCTGTGATCTTAATTTAAAAGCCGAGAAAGGTATTAATAATTCTCTTTAACTACACGTGAAAAATTATCAAATAAAAATAAAAGATGATAATATAATATATACATCACAAGAAAAAAAAAAAATCACCAAATGTAAAAGGTTATAGTCCTAACTTAAGGCTCGTTTGTATTGCCTTTTCAAAAAAATCTTTTTTATTACTTCCTTATTTTAAAAGTACTTTCTATAAAAGTTACAGCTATTTAGATTTTTTAAAAAATATTTGATTTTTGAAAAAAATATTTGACTTCTGCTTTTTTAAAAAGCTAAAATTTTTAACTTTCGAAAAAAAAGTAGGTTTTTGACTCTTTTTTTATAACTTCTGCTTTTTTTAGAAACATGCATCAAAATAGACTTTTTTCGAGAAATGTTTTTTTTTTCCTTAAAAAAAACAGTTTTTGAAGAAAAAAAAAAGCCCATCCAAACGGACTCTTACTCTATATGCATATGTTGGTATTTGTTAGACTTGTTATTTCAAACACTCCCCCTCTGCGATTATCTTGTGACTCCTAGGATTCAGCTTCTGCCTCAGGTAGTGAACATGTCTATGTGTGCTAGTTCAGGATTTTGGATAAACAATTATGAAAAACATGAAACATAAGTTAAACAAAATTTCTTCAAATATGATCTTGCATCCGCACGATACCCCATGCATTGATTTCCCATGAAATCCATGCAATGACAAACACCACTGAGATACACAAACTGTAGATTCCAAATATTCATCAAAAAATTAGCCTAGCTCATCCACAACTTCAACATTTTATCCTTACCACCCGAGGCTACCTTCTCTCCATCTGGACTCCAATCAACAGAAAAAACCTTTCCCGCAAGAAAATGAAATTAGGTTAGCAACCAGAATGAAAATATATTGTTTAGAAAATTTAAAGTATTTGGTATGTTGAAAGACATACTTCATCAGCATGGCCTGGAAGATCTTGCTTCAACTTACGAGTCCGAATATCCCAAACCTTGAAAACCAAACACAATGAAATGTCAAAGTTCTTGTTTTGCAAACGATATTTGGTGTATTCTAATGTACTAACCAATCTAAAAATGTTCACTGATCTTTGTACATACCCTATATTGAAAGGAAAGGAAATTATGCTTACCTTAAGTGTAGAATCTTTGCTGCCACTTAAAAGAAGTCTACTGTCTGCAGACCAGCTGTATAGTAAAACCAATAAACTTTATTACAGTTCTAAATGAAATATCTTTGACTTCCAGTTCAAAATAAGATGGAACCACTTATATTGTACCTGATCTGGTAAACAGGCCCAACATGGCCACGAAAGGCAGTGACAAAATTCCCTGTAGTGCCATTCCATAACTTCACAGATTTATCAAAAGATGCACTTGCCACCCATTGCCCATCAGGTGAAAAAGAGACATGGTTCACAAGCTGTCAGCAAACAAGTTCCACGTATATCGTTAAGCCTAAAAGATTAAATATATATATAAACAAAATTGTAACTTAAATCTGTATAACAATAAAACCAATTTCAACTAACAGACTGATGGAACTCCTCCTATAGTGCGAGTTTGCCCTTCCTTCCTAGTGTAAACTCACACTATTAGGGAGCTCTATCACAGACACAGCAACAAATAATAAGAGACAGTGCTACTCAATAATACTGATACAAACTGAAGTCACAATGCAATTTGAAGAAAAGATCACTTTGGTTGATTCTCATTGACATACTTTAAAATTGTACCGAGAGTTAAAGGAAAAAAGTTGTACCTGCTGATGACCTGTCATGCGAGTTTTGGGATGCTTGCTGATGAAGGGTTCCGAAAGGAACATGGTGAAATCATCAGATCCAGATACCAATCTTTCAGGGGCATTGCCTTTCATTGTATTGTACCTTTCAAGAGCAACCTACATTCATCCGCAGCAGACACTGGTATTAGTAAAATAGAGATAGAAGAAAAGTGTTCCCATTGAAAGGAACTTGTAAAAGTTAAAATCCTCTACAAGGAAGGGAGAGAGAAAATTTAAAATATTCAATGGATTGAAAGTGACAATCACTCTATAACTATGAATGCAAAATTGACAAATAAAAGGAGAAAAGAAACGAGGGTAAAACTGATCTTCTTCTTTTTTTATTTTTCCCCCGAGAGGTAATGCAACCCTCCCGGTTCAATCATTCTACACATCTGCCCAGACTGGGTTTGGGTTACCAATCAGAACATCCAAGGCAGGTTTAGTAACTAATGACTATGGTTCAAAGGGCTAACATTACAAATAAATAAACTAACAACTACCTTCTTCATTTCTTCCGCAGATGAATACTGTATACCAGTATGATCAAAAGCTCCAGTGCGAAGACATATTCCGTGCTCAATGCTAAAGAATTAACCCAGTGCCCATGTCCCTAAATATAATAATAATAAAAAAAGAGAGTAAGTAAAAATAAAGACAGTTTATGCATGTCATGTCATCACTAAAGAAGAAATAGTGTTGATTGTTGAATATCAGCAGGAAGGATAAGACAAAATACAAGAAAAGTATCTGATGAAAAATATAAAAAAAAAAAAAAAAAAACTCATCGTCAGATTCCTGTATAGCAGAATTGTTTTTTTGCTATTCCATAATACACTTTACTTTCTTTTTTCATAAAAGAAGAAATTCATTATGACAAAGAAAAAATATTACAAAGAGAATGGAGGATTTAGAATCCTGCTAAACAAAAGAACAAAACAGAAACAACCAAGACAAAATTCAATGCAGCAAAGTGGCACAGTCCCTCAACATGGATGAAAATAAAATTCCAAAATAACTTGCTTACTAATATTAAATTAAAAAAAAAAAAAAACGCTTCTGCTGTTATTGGGCAACATGGACGAACATAAAACCAAAGTATTCGTAAAAGGATTTAATTTTGATCCTATGTTTGAGTAAACATTTTTAACACTATTATCTACTCAGATATTTACACTCGAATAAATGATCATTGAACGAGTTGGTTTATCATAATAACTGCCAGGAAAGCCCAGCATTTTAGGTGATGTATCGACACATATAGTATAAAAAGCTTACTAACAAACTGACAATGAATCAAAATTAAACACTTAGTAAAATCCCTCAAGAGTAAAATCCCTCAAGATTGAACTAGTAAAGTTCCAATTGGCAGCTACATCTGATAAGCATAAAAGCCACATGAAAGATAATATCAAATAACTCAAATGAAGAAAAAGTTGGCAGCAGCTGAGAAACAGGAGTCATGCATAACAGTAAAAACAAGCACATAAAAGTTAAGCTGCAAAAAACAAAACACTGAAACCTTAACTTCAGTTCAACTGCAAAGGGAGGAGGCTCACCTTCAGTTCATGAATTAGTTCCCCATGTGTGGTTTCCCAAACTTTGATTGTACAATCCTGGGAGCTGTGTAATGAAATAAAATAGTTAGGCTCCAAGCAGTAACACAGAACAACAGAAGAGATAATCAGTCATCCATCAATTCAGACAAAAAAGGGGAAAACCACTATCGCATACCCCAAGTCAACATCAGAATTACTTGAATTAAGTCTGAAAATAAGATCTCTAAACTTAGATAGAAACATGAGTTAAAATCATAAAATGGGAATATAGCAAAATGGGTTTTTATTTCCAGCAAGGGATATGCGGGAATAATTTTCTAAAAGCTCAAAGTACAATAGATTTTTTGACAAAACAAAGAATAAAACCTCAGTGACTAAATAAAATATGAGTCTTTTGTATACTTGAATTAAAAACACCTCTCTTGTGGAGAACTCGATATGGCAGCAAAGCAACTGTACTAATATCCCAATTCATGCAACATAATTTTTTTTTAAAGTACAGAGAAAAACTCGACCAACAAGTTAAGAGAAATTGGAAGGAAAGAGAGAGAGAATACCCTGTATAAATGTAACCATCTCCACCCCATTTTACGCATGTTATTGCAAGTGTGTGGCCACTGAGAACAATGGACTTCTTCCAAGAGATGATATCCCATATGCGAGCATCCCCATCTTTGCTGGCGCTTACAAAGCGGCGGCAAGGAGCATTAAGGTGGACAGGTTCCCAAGAGATACCAGTAATCCATTTCTTGTGGCCCTACATTTAGTATACATCAATTTTTGTTCTCCAAGAAAAATTATAATGGTAAAAAACTCTTCAAACAACATCTGTTATAAAGGTAAATACTCTGACTAACCAAAATAATACTTAACCAATGTACCCAATAAATAAATAAGCAAGAGTTCCATGTAAAACATTTCCATAACAGTTGTATTTTCTCACGAAACCCTCAACAAATAAAGCATGATGTTCTTTTACTTTTTATTTTTTGGAGTGGGAGAGGAAGAAGGGTGAAGCCCAATCAGGATGACTAAAAGTTGTGCAATTCTTCTAACCAAAGCATAATGTAAAACAGGTGAGCAAGCAAGTAATACAGTGGCCAAGTATAAAGAATAAC